CTGACACACGCCTCTGTACCCACAGCTGGTGCTGACAAGGGCTTGCTCGCCTTCGGGGCGGCTGTGCCGCTGCGTTTTGGAGTAGGGGGCTCCACGGGTGCTCCTCAGCCACGGGAAGTTTGGCAGGTGGTGTCTTCTCGATCCGCTTCAGCATGAGTTTCGTGTTTGCTGATTGTGCTGAAAATCACCCCAAACTTTCCTTCTGCATCTGCCCTTCCTCTGCCAGCGGCGGGGGCGATGCAGCACATCCCATCGCTCTGAGCTGGGACTCGTCCCGATTCGGGCACGGCCTCGCCTGCTGCTTACAAAACCTGTTGATGTTTTGTGCTCTGAAATGCTCTGCTGTATTTCCACGTGGCCTCCGTGCCCATCTCCTGGCAGGAATGTTAATGGGGGTGATGCTGCGGGCGGCCACGAGGGAATTGCAGCCTTCGAGTGGGAGTGGGTCCTACCTCGTGCCTCCGGGATCTGTTTCGGTTTCGGTGATGGCACGGGCAGCACCAGGTGACTGATAGGTCCGCCTGATTCACCTGGTTTATGTAAGGATGCCCAGAGCAGAACACCAAATGGGGGTTCGGGTTGGTTTTTATTTACTGCGAGCTTGTCCCGGAGCTGAGGAGCAGTGGTGTGATCAGGAGAAGGAACGATGGGCCTGGAGGATGCTGGAGAGGAGGGGATTTGGTGTTGTGGGTCGGGAGAAGCTCTGCAGCCCTCCCTCACCCGAGAGGTTACGTTTCTCTCCCGCTCCCTGCTATAAAAGAGGAGCCCTCTTCATCCTGCCTTTCTTCTCCCTCTGTGTACACACATCATTCCTGCCTCTCCCTCTAGCCAAGCTCCTGCTGCAGTAGTTAGCCGAAACAATAGGTCTTTCATTTCCGAAGATCTTCCACCACGCGCAGCCCGTCGGTAGGTTTCCAACGGCAAAGGGGAAGTTGGGATTGTTCGAGTTCCCACGCCTGGACAAAGGAAATCGATGGAAGCCCCTGCGAGTCGATTCTCTTTGAAACGAGGCTGCAGAAACCGCAGAACCTGGCCAGGAGCAGCCCTTTGGAGGCAGGAGATGAGGCAGAAGCTGCGAGTGCCGGGGAGGGAGGCTGGCTGCCCTGCTGCTGCTGGGTTTTGCCGGGGTGGGAGCCGTCTGACGGGATGAACGCACCTCCCTGCGCTCTGAGCTCAGGTCGGAGCTATCTAGGGCATACCTGAACTGCCAGCATCCTTTTAATTAAACACGGATGTGAAGCAAGGGATTGATTTCTTGCTTCTGGACTGCTTTCAGCCCTCTTCCCCCACCCTGTGGCTCAGTTTGGTTGTGATGCCAGCTAAACTAGGCAGGTTTATCTCCCTGATCCGTGACGCCCAAGTATATCTCCTGTGCTAATATTTGCTCTAGGAGGCATTCAGCTTTTCTTCTACGCGGTTCAGCTGAGGGCCTTTGCTCTGTCATCGTGCCCTGCTTCCTCTGAGCTCCAGCGCTGCTTGCTGGGACAACGTTTTAGGACGTGTCCGGTCCTGGTGGGGCTGATAGAGTAAAGGAACCAGACACCACAGGCTTGTTCTCACCTTTCATGCCCAGCCAGCTGATACCCTTCAGCAGAAGTCTGCAGGAGAGTATTTGGGCCACTGCCTTTGGGGAACTGTTTCCTTGTCTTGCCTCGCACCGTCACTTCCCTGCCTGCATGCCTCTGCCTGCAGCATTTGTAAGAGGCCAGGTCTCTGCCCAGGGAAAGGCCGGCGTATCCCAAGTCTGCAATCATCCCTCTTCCATCTTCATGTCCCCAAAAATGCCCCTGAGATGCTCTCTGGAGGAAGCAGTGGTGAGATGCACGCGGCTGCATTTCACCGAGCACTTGAAGGTTTGTTCAGGCCATGCTGGGTGCTGTGGGCAACACGCATCTGCTTCCTTCTGCCTCCCACCTCCCTTCTTTGTCTCCCACCCCACAACCAAAGGGTGAGCCCCCTGCCGACCTTCGTGCTGCCCTCGCCCCCAGCCCTTGGGGCTCTTTGCACGACGAGAAGGACTCAGAGGCTTGGCTCCCAGTCACATCGTGAAGCCCTGGGTTGAACCACGAGCCAGCGAGGGTTTCTCCCAGCTTGTGTCTCAGCTAGGACAGCGGGGGATTTGCATTAGTTTGTCTTCCTGCCTGACAGATTCGGGAGCGTGGGGATGGGGCTGGAGCTGCTGTGGATGGCACACAGTCCCTCCTTCTTTCCTCCCGTGATGAAGCCTCCCGGTTTAATTAGAGCCAGCGGGGAGAAAACCTCAATCTTATTATTCCTTCACAGCAGGGCACCAGTAGCATTTCTTGGATGTCAAAAGGAGGATTAAATTAGTCTGCAAGCAAGGTTTCCTCCTTCACATCTCTAGGTTTTCTGGGAGGGTGTTAAGCCTCCAAAATCACTGTGGTGATCAGTGCATTTGACATGGCATGCAGTCCCTGATTACAGCACAGCTCCCTGTCAGAGGCGTTGTTTGCAGCTTTCTGGGCTGCAGATCTGTGGGTGGCTGGGTGGAGAGAAGTCGGAATGGAATTGCTCGGGATAATTGTACCCTTCCCAGGTGTATTAGAGAACAGAGGAGGTTTCCGGAGGTGCAGCCTTTGGGAAAACGATCTGCACTGCTCTCGGATGTGCAGAAACCCCTTTGTGGCCGTGCAGGCTGCGTGACGAGCGGCATTTTGGCACGGAGGTGCTGGAGCAGATGATGGCAGCTGGAAGCGCCTTTGCTCTGGTGTGCTTGCCCTCGCCGGGCCTGGCAGGCAGAGCAACCGCTTCATGTTTTTTCCCTGCTCTGGAGAGGGACGTGTGCCTCCCCAGCTCCGAGCTGGCTTGCAGAAACGCGTGCTGGCACCGCAAGCACGGAGCAAGTGTCCAAAAAAAGCAAGAATCCGAGGTCTGGTTGTTTGCCCATCTGCAAGCGGCTCTGTGGTGACAATTCCCCTTTGGGCCTCTCGTGCGCTGGCTGGGCCCTCCTGGGGCACAGATCCATGCAGGAAGCTCCTGCTCTCCTTTTTTTCTGTCCTCCTTTTTTTTTTTGTCCTCCTTTCAGCGTTCATAAAGAAGCCGGTGAGGCTGGGAGGGCTGCACTGTGCCCAGGAGCGTGCGTGCACCTCCACGAGGCCGGGCGCACGGGGACATGCGGGGATCAGTCCGGAGATTATGTCTGAGAATGAAACCCGGAGCTCAGCCAGGCAAACCGGGAGAGCAGCAACCCTTTTCTTCCCCCTCAGTGTCTAAACGTCGAGGGTGAACTGCAGCAGCCCCTCTTTGTGGGGTCCTCTGCTGAACCCAGGGAGGGGAAGGGCGCAGCGAGGCCCGAGAGGCCGCGGCCTTGTTGTGGGGCCCTGCTCTGAAGGGCGTTACGGCCTCGCCATGATTGATGCCGCTGTTGCTCGGTGCCGAGCAGTCATTCAGAAGAGCTCTTTGCTCTCTGCTCTGTCATGGCTGCGCAGCCTCGAAGCTTTGGGTGTTTGCAGATGTCCTGCCAGGAGATGCGAGGAGCTGATCAGCCAGAGCTGCGCTCAGCGCCATGGTGTCAGAGCCAGGCACTTGGAGCACCAGGGGTCTTTGAACACAGCTCTGTTTTTATTTTTTTTCTGCCCAATTTTGGGGTCTGGAAATAGGATTTTGTTGAATTCCTGAAGATTTTGTCCTTCTTTGTAACAGCAATCAGTTGTTCGGGGGCTAAAAGCACTGCAGGGCTGGTGCAGTCACACAGGGCAGGTCCGGTATCCCTGAGTGCTTTTCAACCTGGATGCTTACCTAAAAGTTTTCTCCTCTTCCTCAAAAAACTAAGGAACCATTCTGAATCCCTGTGGGAGCAGGAGGGTGCCAGAGGAAAAAAGACTTGATAAAAATCAAGTATTTGATGTGGAAGTAAACAAACCTGGATTGTTCAGCCAGAACTGGAGTTTTAACTACAAACACGAGAAATCCTGGCAATGCCCTGTGGCAGGCGTCAAGTGCTTGGCAGTCAGCAGCTGTTTAGACCACTTGTGATGTCTGTGTAGGTAATTTGGTGTCCGTGGACCAGTTTGGGGCAAGATAACACTTGTGGGTGTGTTGCAGGCGGGTTTGGCTCCTCCATTCAGCCCCGGGTGCTGCCACTGGCCGTGCCCCTTAGGAATGGGGCCAGGCAGGAAAAGTTCCTCCCCATTTGGGCTGCACAGAAGGATGTTTTTTTGGGTGGATTTAATAAGGTACGTTCAGCAAGTGTCTTTCAGCTCAGGCAGTTGAATCATGAGGTTTACGGAAAAGAAATCTTTTCTTAGCCTAAGTGATATTTTGAAGAAAGACTTCAAAATACAGACTGACAGTCCGTAACGGCAGGGCTGCTTTTGGCTGACATCTCTTGTTCACCTGTTTTAGAACAGGCATCAGAGATGCCTTGATAAATGTATTTGAAATTGTTGCTGTATTTGCAATTGTTGCTGTGGCTTCTGTAGATCTCTTTATCCTCCACTTAAAAAAATAAAATAAAATTGAAATACAGGACCCTAGACCATATGGATTGCAGGGAGTTGTGGTTTAGGGCTTTGAAAGGTCTCTGCTCTCTCTAGACTTAGGTCTTACACCGGCTGCTGCGAGCAGAGTATGTTAATTCCCTGTTTACTTGCATTTTGCCTTGTGTGAAATTGAAGCCTGTCTCAAAATGGAGCTGAGAGACAATGCTGTTGCTCGCTTTTTCCAGCAAGCGTTGGAGTTGGAGCTGTGTGTTGTGATTTAAGGAGCTTCATAGCTTCTGCTGGGTGAGGAATATCCTGCCTGTGTCTGAGGGCTGAGCCATGCTTTGGGAGGGTGGGAGATGTTTAAATTTTTAGTGGGGCGGTGTTAGCAAAGAGCCAAGTGTTATTGCTGTGCTATGGGCTGTTCCTGCCACCTCCTTTCTCTTGCAGATGCTCTCTGGACCACCCCTGTTCCCTTTCTTTGCATGAGGTACAAGCAGGTTTAAGTGGACAGCCACTGCCATGCCTGATTCTTCCTGCTGTGTTCTTTTTCTGCAGCTGGTCAGTGAGAAAGTTGGAGGGGCTGAAGGGACCAAACTTGACGATGACTTCAAGGAAATGGAAAAGGTAAGTAGGGAACAGGAGGAATCTCTAAAATCACAAATGTAAGTCCTCTGTGACCTTGCCAAAGCCCCAAGTTGATCTTCACTGCTGCTGGATTATCTTGTTTTCCTACAGAAAGTGGACCTGACCAGCAAGGCAGTTACAGAAGTACTGACCAGAACAATAGAGTACCTCCAGCCAAACCCAGGTGAGTCCTCTCCTGTCCTCTTCCCTCTGTCCCCCAAGTTGCTCAGGGAATCAGGGAAAGAGGCAGAGGGGGCAGAGAGATATCACAAAGACACTTTTTGACCCTAAGGTGTTGGTCACCAGCCCAATTTTGAGATCAGGCATGCTGCCAACCTTTACCAGAGGCATGCTGGGCTGTCCTGATGTCCTGTGACCTCGCTAGCTGGCTGAGTTAATGAGGTCTTACTGTAGCTAACGGGTACTTTGTGGCTCAGGTTAAGATCAGGATACCCCTCTTGCCCTGTGGTGTGTTTCTGGGCTGTAAGACACCACTGTTGCTGTCAAACAGTGAACAGAACAGACTCATCTTTAGCCTTGGACCTAGAAAAGCCCTGGAGGGAACCCGTTTTTGCTGGGGTGTCCAGAAAAAGTGGTGCATCTGGTCTGGGAAAGGGTGGCTGGCTTTGTAGCCATCACCTCTGGAGCCTGCTGTCCTGCATGTTTCCAGCCAGCTCATTCCGAGCATGCTCCAGAGACTAAGGGAGAGCTGGGGAAACTCCTTTGGCCTCCACTGGTTAGCTGTAGGGAACTATTTTTGCTTGCTGTCTTGGAAAAGAAACTTCTCTTTTCATAGCAAGTGATATTTCTGGTAGATGAAGACAATAGGGCTTCTTGGCTTTAGGAGTAGCTTAAAAAAAAAAGTTGGCGGTGGCCAGCAGCTGCTGGCAAGCCCAAGTAATTGCAAACACGGCTGTGGCTGTTTCTGTGCCAGCTTCCAGAGCCAAGCTAACCATGCTGAACACGATGTCGAAGATCCGCGGGCAGGTGAAGAACCCCGGCTACCCGCAGTCGGAAGGGCTGCTGGGGGAGAGCATGATCCGATACGGCAAGGAGCTGGGCGAGGACTCCAACTTCGGTGAGTGCCCCGTGGGGCTGCTGCCTCTTGCAGCCTGTGGATGAGATGGCGAGGCCTGGTGCCAAATTTCCAAGCTGTTCATCTGCAATTCCTGAAGGGCTCTGTGACCCTGTGCATCGCTTAACAGCAAGTGCCTCGAGTCCAGACTGGCAGCGAGCGCCAGATCTATAGCAGGTTTAGGGCAAATGGATGGCAGTGGCTGCACCTCATTCCTTAAGCCAAAAGCAGGGGCAAAATCCACAGCTTGTGGCTGGTGTCCATACCGTTAACAGCCTCCCTGCACACTGGCCCGCACTGAGGCCCTTAGAGGAGGCTCAAAAGCTTTCACCCAGGCAGGGAAGCGGTGATCCCAGTGTGCTGGATCATAATCCGTGGCATTACGTGTAAAACCACCTCTTAGTGCTTCTTTATTAAACACTGGGGTAAGTTTGCATGTGGGGAAAACTCCCTCCGTGCTCCTAAACAACGCTGATGACGTGGAAACCAGATTGAGCGAGATTAGGAGTTTTACTGTGCAACAGAGCTCTGCTATGGGGAAGCTGTAGCCAAGAAATCCCTTCATGGGGTAATTTCTCATAACCATGAAACAAACCATGTGTGACTTGCAGGGAGGAGGGGGGTGAAGCCTTTCAAAGACATCAGCTGTAATTCACTGAAACGTCAGCCTGCACATGTGGCAGACCCAGCACAGCGCACAGCTGTCTGATCGCTTCCAGCGCAGGGAGGAGCCGCCGTGCCTGAGGAAAATTAAAAAGCTCTGGCCACTCTGTGGAAATGGTGAAGAAGTCTCGAGGGTGTCGCTGGTCACCTCAGAGCCCTGCACCTCTCTTGGCTTGCAGGAACCAGCATTGTTGCAGAGCGAGGGGGAAGGAAGTTTTTAGAAGAGCACACCGAACCCAGCTTCCTTTAATAGCCTCTCCTTACAGAAACACTTAACGTGATAAATTTATGGTTTGACAGGTTATCTAGAGTTATCACGGTTGAAACAACTCTTTTTGCAAATACTCTGTGGTGTATTTTTTCCAGCTGGACAGCAGAGCCGTGGTTTCACTTCACCCTCTGTTTCGTTTGCATATTCTCCTGTGCTAATGTAGTGCCGAAATGGTCGGTTTGCCAAAGCTGCACAGGAATAATTTAATCTATAAATGGTTTCCACTGGAATAAAAAGCCAAGACTAAAAGCACTTCGCTGTGAGGCCGTCTGGCTTAGCTGTCATAGTGGCAGGGGCTTGAGAAAAGCATGAAGCGAACTGGGTTTCAATAAGCAATTCTGGGCTCTCTGATTCAGAGAGGAGGGGAGGAACGGTTGGCCCGGCAGAGGCTCGTGTCGAAAATGAATAAAAAGCTGCAGGTTTGCTGCCAACATCTGGGGAAACTTGAAAAGTTGGTCAAAGTGCTCTGGGCTCAAAAACCACCAGAACAAAAGGACGGCCAGACTGAACCAGACCAAACGTGCTCTCCTCCGGGCTCCTGCTGCCAGGGAGCAGAGCAAGGTTAACGCGCTGCCTGGCAGATGAGTAGCTCCATGATTCCCTGAGCTAACAAAGCCGCTTTACAAAATATTTGTACCTTTTCCTTTCTCTGTGTAGTTGGTAGAGATTGTTCCTGTGTTTTGGAGGACAGAAATGAGGCGTGTTGGCTATGGAGTCGGCAGCGCCGTGCAATTGCCTGCGCTCACACCAGGCAGCTCCCTGCGCCCGGCTCGGATGGATGCTCCAGATAGAAATGTGGGGGCGTTTGACGTGTGACAGAGCTCGCACATGCTGGGTGTCTTGGCAGAATGGCTCTGCATGCAGCTGCCAGAGACTTGGGCTCTATTTAACTGCCTGGCCTGTTCTCCCTCTCCCTTTCTCTTCCCTTCCTTTCCTCGCTCAAAGGCGATGCGCTTCTCGATGCCGGTGAATCTATGAAGCGACTGGCTGAAGTGAAGGACTCGCTGGACATTGAAGTCAAACAAAATTTTATTGATCCCCTCCAGAACCTGTGTGACAAAGACCTGAAAGAGATCCAGGTAAACGGCACAACGTTTTCTCTCCTCTTCATCTCTTCAGGTCCTGGCCCCTTCTGGCTGCTAGTGCACGTCACCACTTGCTCCATCACGGTGGGAAACAGGTGGACTTACACAGATACCAGTCCTGTTCCCCTGCACTTTGCGCACTTTCTCTCTCCACATTCACTGGGATTTCCTCCCCTGCTCAGTGCACTCAGCGCCACTGCTCCTGCTCCCGAGCAGCTCCTAAAGCTTGGATGTAGGTGTGAATGTTCCTTCACGTACTGTGCTCTATGGAGGATGCTCTGGGAGGATGTCCCAACCATTGCGGGCTGCTTGCGTTTGGTTCTTTGTGCTGTGAGGTCCTGGTAGTGTTACATTCTGGGCTGGCTGGCATTAAACTGCAGCATTTACAGCTGTTGGCTCTGTTCTGTTAACATCCTCGATCCTACAGTGTAATTTTCAAGCCGTGAGTAAGCTTCCCTCTAGGCCTCTGAGGACGTGTTTCAAGAAGGCCCTTTGGTGTCTCACTAGGGAGATACGGAGCGTGGTAGCTCCCTTGTGCTACCACGGAGACAAGCCTGTGCAAACCGTGGCCAGGCTTTGTAATAGGATCCACCCAGACCTATAATTCACAAGGCAGCTCTCTTGAGCGAATTTTTGCTTACAGTGGTGTCTCAGATAAAATAACTGCCAACTACTCTTTCAGTACTTATCTGCTGGGCGCTCCAGTTCTGCAGGCTGCCACGGAGCTAATTTAAACAGTTCTGGCCCTGAGCAGTCACTGGATGCAATGCCCAGAACCTGCCTCCCAGTTCCTGATCTCCAGAGATCTCTGTCACTCACAGGGACCTGAAAGTAATGGGCCAACTCTTCATCTCCCTGAAAACCTTGCATGGAGGACAGATCTGGGCTACTCACTGCAGTGCTTTCCTCCAGCTCTCAGCTAGAAGGAGCTGAAATCGTATTTTTGTACCAATTTTTCGAGGGCTGTTTCTTAGTAAAAAGTACCCACACCCACAGCAGCAATCCTTTGTCAAACCGAGTTCAAACGGTCTGCTCCTCCCTGTCATCTCGCAGCAGCCCTGACCTGCAGCTCTCCACCGTGTGCCAGAGCCTCGCAGGAGTCTGAGCATAGGAAGGAGCCACAAAAGCGTGTGCTCTGAGATCAGGTTTCTGAAATGAAAGAGCTTGGCCTGTAACTAGAGCTGCCCGTCCCAGCAGGAAAACGTGGTTGCTCCCAGTCTTGGGATCTTCCTTCTCTTTCTTTACCGTTCATAACCATCCTTTCCCCAGCACCATCTCAAGAAGCTGGAAGGCAGACGCTTGGACTTTGACTACAAGAAGAAACGACAGGGGAAGATCCCCGATGAGGAACTCCGACAGGCCATGGAGAAGTTTGAAGAGTCCAAGGAAGTGGCCGAGACCAGCATGCACAACCTCCTAGAAACCGACGTGAGTGCACGGGGAGAGTGGGGGCTCCCTGCTGCCCCAGGGCTGGGCGCTGAGGGGTGGGTTGCATGTTTCCAAAGGCACCAGGGTGGGATGTCTCGAGGAACAGAAGAGTTAAAGAGGCTGATTTCCACTCTCCTTTTAGCACCTGGGGGTTTGCCCTCTGATAACCCAGACCTGGGTGCCCAGTGAGTGGTGTGGCAGGCCCCTCACCCTTCCTCCAGCCTCCCTCTTCCTGACCCAGCTCTTGGCTGTGGTGTGAAGCTAAGGGGTCTCTTCTCATTCATGTGTGCCAGTGGGGATAAGTTTGGCCAGGTCGCACAGCTCGCTCAGGAAGGATTTGACCACCTAGGGAAGCCCAGAGGGCGGTAGGCACTGGCCTCTGTTCTGCTGAGTCTCAGCCTCTACCCAACCTCTGTTATCTGAAACCCCAAACCTCGCCCTCATCTCCTCGGGGAAGGGGCCCCTTGTGCACATTTCCCAGCATGTTCTCAGTCCCCACGTGCAGCGGGAGTCTCCTGCCAGCGAGGGGGAGGCATTCACCCTGCCTTGGTGTGGTTCTCGCAGATCGAGCAGGTGAGCCAGCTCTCAGCCCTGGTGGATGCCCAGCTGGACTACCACAGGCAGGCAGTGCAGATCCTGGACGAGCTTGCAGAAAAACTCAAACGCAGGTGAGTCCTGGGGGCCGAAGGCACTCCGTTTCCACAGCCATAAGCTGTCCCCGTGACACTTGTCTGTAAATACCCAACTTCCCCTCTAAATCCATCCCCAGGATTTTAAAGCCACTCCTTGAAATCGCTATGGCTTCGATCCAGACCTCCTTCAGATCGGTTCTAAAATAGGAAACAACACGTCCATGCTTGCTTCGTGGGCAACTGGTCTCTGCTGGTTTGGGCCGTGCTTAAGGAGCTGGAGCAGTTGGCAGGGTGCTGTGGGCCAGGAAGATCTGTATGTTCAGTGGCCCCCAGGTTTTCTGGAGACTAGAAAATGAATGTGGGGATGATGTGGTGGCCATGGGCCAGTGGGAGGCACCTGTGAGCCCCCTGCCTCATGTTCAACCCCCTCCCATTTACACGGTGGTCTCCTGGTGGGCCCTGCTGGCTGCAGGACTGCCACAGGTGCAGCTCTGGAGTTCTCAGCCCCATGAGCCCGTTCATGAAGGGCAGGTTGGTGTTTGGAGCCAGCAGAGCCACGGAGTGGCCTCCTCTGCCTGCTCCCCCTGCGCCCTCAGGTGCCCGACCTCCGCGTGCTGCTGGGGGCACTGACAACGTGCAGCTGCTGCCAAGGTGCCGAGGAGCACGGGGGCAACGCCTCCGCTTCCCGGGGTGATGCAGTGATGCTGCTCTGCTTCTGTCAGAATGGAAAGCTGCTGAATGGAGGCTGTGTCTGCGTGGAATCGAGCGGAGCTGGGAGCAGCCTGCAAACTGCAGCACGAGTGTCCTCTGCTGGCCTGCAGGCAGCGGGTGCCTGAGACGCCTCCGCAGCGAGGCCCTGGGGCCCTCTCGAAGGGCAAAGTCCCAAATCCTGGGCTAGATCCTGCTCCAGGAGGCGCCAGCACAGAGGGTTGCACAGATTCTTGTCTACAAATGAACCTGCTCCCCTGCACAGCCACGTCGCTCAGCTCCCTGCCTGCAGTCCCTGTGGCACGTAACGCAGCGGGCAGACAGGAGGCAGCCGAGGCTCGTCTCGGGGGCTGCGAGGTGCAGGTGGTGGGTGCCTTGCCCAGCAGGAGCTACCAGGGGCATCGTGCTCATTTTCACTTTGATTTATCCACATTTCTTCTCCTCCTTCCAGAATGAGGGAGGCCTCCTCGCGTCCCAGGAGGGAATACAAACCCAAACCCAGGGAGACGTATGACTTTGGAGAGACTGACCAGTCCAACGGGGGCTTCTCTTGCAACCCTACCCCCAAAGTCTCAGGTAAAGTTGTCCCGTGTACGTGCACACAGCAGCTCCTGGGGACGGAGGGGAGCTCCCCTGCCTGGAAATGATGTCCGTGGTGTGCTGGATGTGCCTGTGTGGGCTGGTGGCTCTGAGAATGTCAGAAATGCCTCTAGACCTGGGCTGTTTTCTCTTGGGGCCCGGCAGCCTTCGTTATATTGGCTGTGGGGAAGGCCCAGCAGGGCCTCTGGCCTGTGTTCACTGGCTGATAGTGCCCAGCCAGAGCCAGCAACGGCAGACAGGAAAAATTAAACGTCTTCCGCTTCCCTCCCCATCTTCCATCACGCTGCATTTGTCCCTCCCCGGTCCCGGCAAGGCAAATGGGTTTCTAACAGCATGCAGGATGCCCCCTTTCTCCTAACAGAACCTCCCTTTGGGCCCTGCCTTTCCCTGTCTCCAGTTCACGTTGTTTTAAGCATGTCTCTTTTTGTTTGGAAGCAGCTTCCTCCTCTTTCCGATCCGACAAGCCGTCCCGGGCCTCCGTCAGGAGTATCCGTGAGTTTCCTCCCTCTGCACCGCCCTGCATGATGTGTGCCCATCTGTCCCCATCCCTCCTCGCTCCTCCTTCCTTGGCGCTGCTGCTTGGAGTCGCTCACACCTCTGTGCTGAGTTAAACCTCGCCTCTCCCGAGGCCCACATTAACCCAGCCATGCTGCACTGATGTTTGCCACCCCAAAGCTTGGGCCTTTGCTCACCCGGAGGAGCTGTGGCAGCGCTCACCACGCAGGCGCGCCCTGCCTGAGACCCCAAACATCAGCAGCTCCTCCAGGAGGTATCACACATCTTGTTCCTGTCACAAGTCACCCGGCCTCGATCCGTGCCGCTCCTGCTCCTTGTACCCGCTGCCCCCTTCCCTGGAACTGGAGGCTGAGCGGGCAGTGCTCGGGTACACGGCGTGGCTTTTGTGGTGTGTGAGGTCCCGGGCAGGACCTCGGATGGGTTGTGGGGTGAGGCAAGGCCCCAAGCAGGGTCTGCAGGTCACCATTACCCCCTGAGGGGGCTCAGGGGCTTTCGCTGGGGTACGGAGACCGGGCTGGATGTGGGGTTCAGGGGCATCAGAGCGGGGAAAGCGAGGGGCTCGTGGTGGTGCTGAAGGTCTCGAGGAGCCTGGTGCAGGGGCAGCGCTGTGGTTGTGGGGCCAGCCTGGTATTTTGGGAAGTTATCTCAGAAGTGAACCTGCTTGGCTGCTGCTTTTGGTGTTTTCTGAGTTCTCCGATGCCGGATCCTTCCTTGCAGGGGGTGTTCAGCAGAGCACATCTGCTGGTCTTCCTCTGTGCTGTTCCCCCTGCCCTGTTGGAAGGGCTCTAGCACGGAACAACGGGGAAGGGAATTGGGGCCCTGGAGACCACGGTGGTCTGCATTAGCTGAGTCTGTTCCCTGTAGGATCCCTACAGCTGCAAAGTTTAATGCCTGCCCACCCCCAAACTTCACTGGCAGCACGGGGCTCCTGCCAGCACCCCGCTGATTCAGGTTGGGCTCCGCTTTCCTCACGTTGGGGCTCTCCTTTGGGGGAAGGTCACGAAGGGAAACGTTTGGAGCAAGAAGGGAGAGGAAGCAGCAAGCTAAAACCCATCGAGGAGTTTGAAAGGAGCCCTACAACATCCCGGGGGCAGAGCCCCGGCACTCGCTTCCCAAACCAGGGCTGTTTGTCCTGGCTCCAGCAGAGCCGGGGGTCCCGTACGGTGCCGGGGGGGGATGGGGGCCAAGCACAGGGCTGGCCACCGCTGACCCCAGCCCACGCTCTCTCCCCGCAGCCCACCTGGACCAGCCGTGCTGCAAGGCGCTCTACGACTTCGAACCCGAGAACGACGGCGAGCTGGGCTTCAAGGAGGGCGACATCATCACCCTCACCAACCAGATCGACGAGAACTGGTACGAGGGCATGATCAACGGCCAGTCGGGCTTCTTCCCGCTCAACTACGTGGAAGTGCTGGTTCCGCTACCTCAGTGAGAGGCATCTCTGCCCCCCCCCGGCCCCGCGCCCCGCTCGCGCCCTCTCCGCGGCGCGGGGCCGAGCCTGCATTCCACGTCTGTCCCCACACCAGCCCCTCTCCGGCGGGGCGGGGGAGAAGACGCGGCCGAGTTTGCCACCAGGGAACAAGCCAGAAGGGTCGGATGGCCCCCACCCCGGAGGATTTGGTTGGTGTTTTTGTTTTTTTGTTTTTGTTTTTTGTTTTTTTTGGTCCTTCTGGTGCTTGAACTTAGGTACTTTATGAGCCCCGCCAGGTTCCTCGCGGTCTGTACATTTAAGCTGGGTCGCAGGCCTCTCCTTGTCCAGATTTTTGTCTTTGCTTTGGTCGAGTGTGTCCGTACGAAGCAGGGCAGCCGTGCCGCAGAGCTGGGGCACGCGTCCTTCACGCTGGGAGACACGGCCCGGGGCCGGGCAAGCGGTGCTGGGGGCAAAGCAGGGCTGAGCCTCGTGGAGGGGCAAGAGCTTTGCCCCCTTCCTCCCCCGGTGCGGGGCAGCTACTGCCGAACACTACCCCTCTCCCTGCGGACACACGGCCGCCCTCGCAGCCCCGACCCCGCTGCAGCCCCGCGCCCTCTGCCCCGCTGCAGGAGCAGCCCCAGGGCTCAGCGGAGGCAGCGCAGGGCACAGCAACACTACAGCACAGCTCCAACACTAAACCTGCCCCGGGGTGGTGCTGAGCCCTGCCTGGGCGTTAGCCCTCTGCCCTCTCCCCAGCACAGCTCCATCCCGAAGGTGGTGGCTGCCCCTTTTTGCCCCAGAAGGGTTTGAGGCTGGGATGCTTCCGAGCTTTGGGCTCTCCATTCGCAGAGCTGGGGGGTAAATCAGGGGGCAGGGGGCTGCCCGGGGCAGGGCAGAGCAGGTCCCAGCGTGGTCCCGTGTAAGATCCTCTCGCCCCGTGGCTCTGTTTGTTCTCCCCACGGCCCCAGCAGCCGTCAGCACCCCAAGGGGCTGAGCCGCAGGCTCCTCGCTCGCTCCTCGGGGCTGCTCGGCTGGAGTAAAGCCAATCCCCACGTGCCTTCCTGCTGCCCCCGCTCTGCCCCTCACCAGCCATGCTCCAGGCTTTGGCACCTCTGGCTTCTGCTGCCTGCAGACAGGTTCAGAGAACGGCTCCTTGGGGTCTCCGCACCCCTTGGGCCCGAGCCTCCAGCCCCTTTCCCTGTCCCGGTGTCGGGACGAGGCCCCTGCCCACCCTCAGCACCCCAAGGGAGAGGGGGCAGCGCCGCCTCCTGCACCTGCAGCCCCCCCCCCTCGCTTCCTTGCTTCTCCAGCATTGATAGAAAAATATTTTCCTCCCCTCTGTGGGGACCTGGCACCTCTGCTGCAGGGCTTGGCGGGGCTTGGGCACCTCTCTCCTCGACCAGCATCCCCCCCCCTCACCCCTTCCCGGCTGGTGGCCGAGCCGTCGCTCCCTGCCAGCACCATGTCCCTGTCCCCGCTGCTCCCGTCTCCTGTTACATTTACACGGAACCTTTTTAAATGTTTTTAACCATGCATGTCGATGTACGTCTGCTCCCCCGCCGCGCAGGGAGCCCACGGGACTGCTGTCCCCAGGGCCCCCCCGTGTCCCCAGGGCCCTCGCCTCTGTCCCCTCCCTGCTGGGGGCCGGGGTCGCAGCCCAGGAGCACTGGCTCCTGCTCAGGTGGGTTGAGATGAGTCTGTCAGCTGGGAAAACTCGCTAAGACCTTTTTTTTTTTTTTTTTTTTTTTTTGTAATGGTTTCTCCTGGTTTTTAGGGGGGAAAAAAAAAAAAAGAAAAAAAGAAAAAAAAAAAAGACCCACAAATCTCGACTTGTATCTCCGAATAAAAGTATTAAATGTTTTCTTCTTTCTAACGGCCGCCTCCTCTCTGTGCACGCGAGGCTGGATCCCTCCCCGTGGCCAAGCAGTGGCTGTGATGTGACCACTGGGTCCACGGGGGGCTGGGGGAGCGGCCCTGGGGCTGCATCTCCCCCACCCAGCCCCTGGAATTGCAAAGCCACCGGTGCCACCCCTCCATGCTGAGCAGGATGCCCCCAGCCCGGCGGAGCCGCACGCCTGCCCCCATCTCAGGAACTGCTCTTTAATCAACTACCACTTCCACAAACAACGTGCAGGTGAGACTCCCACCACCACCGTCACCCTCCCCGCCACCGCGCCGGGCCCGGCCGCACAACTCCCCGGGGAGCTGCTCCGGGGCACGGCAGGGACCTGGCACCCCTCTGCCGGGTGCCTGGAGGCAGCGGGCGACACGCGGCGGCCCCGCGGCGCTGCCCTGCGCCCGTTGCCCTTCGCCGAGGGCAGCTCTGGCTGCAGGGAAGGTCTGAGCCGGTCGGGGCTCCCGGCTCCTCAGCCGCTGAGTTTCAGGAGGCTGTAGATCTGCTCCAGGGCGTGGGTGAAGCTCTGGTCTTTTGGGGTGCGGGAGGCCAGGGAGCCCTGGGGAGGAATGACGCCCAGTTTTACTGCATCCACCCAGGCCCCTCTGTTTCCCGTACTTTGCCCGGCACCGGGGCGAAAAACAAAAATAAAAACCAGGGAGGAGCAGGGCGGGTGGAAACCACAGCAATTAATTTCTTTCCCGCCCAGCTCAGGCATCCCCACCTTCAGTTTGTCCAGGTAGGTCTGGTCCTGGCTCCACAGCTCCTGGAACTTCACCAGGTCGGGGGCCCCCTTGTAAAACTCCACCAGCAGCGTCTGGGGCAGGGGAGAGAGGGGCTGCAGGGGACCCTCAGCCCCCTGCCCTGTGGGACCAGCACCCCGGCAGCACAGCGGGGATGGAGAATGGGGATGGGGACGGGTGGCAGGGGCCCAGCCCGGCTCCAGGGGGGTTGGAAGCCGTCCTGGTGGGCGCAGGGGGGAATTTTGGGAGGAGGTGGTGAGCATCCGACCCCCGCTCCGCGCTCACCATCTCCTGCAGGACGTCGTTGGTGAGGAAGCCGTCCTGGATGTGGGTCACCTCCACCTCCATGGGGATGCTGTAGTCATTGGGACGTTGCTGGAGGACGGGGACAGCAGCGTGACCCCACCCAGCACAGCACCGGGACCTCCCCCCCGTGTCCCCCCCGAGCTGCACCGCTGCCGCCGTGCCCCGCGGGGCCTGGGGCCGCTCACCTCTGGGGGCGGCATCACCCAGAAGGGCGTGATTTTGGACTCCATGCCGGGGTTGCCGTGATAGTACGGCCCTGGGAGGAGAGAGGGGGCTGATATAGGGGAGGGGGGGGGGGGGGCCACAGCTCGGCGGGGGGGGGGGGCCGCGTGCTTACCACAGATGAGAGCCAGGCAGGGCTGGAAGCCGTTGCCGCTGCCCTGCAGCTTGAGCTGGTAATTCATCTGCGCGTCGATGTCGTGCAGGGAGGGCAGCGCGGGGCTGAAGGGGTGGCTGTGGTACCAGCCCACCAGCGACAGCCCCTGCAGCAACAGGCTCTGGCAGATCTGGGTGGGGGGGCAAACACCGACGCCGTTGGCAGCCCGGGACCCTCCCTCCAGCCCCCCAGCACCCTCCGGGGTACCCATAGAGGTGGGTATGGGGGGGGACCCTTTTACCTCCTCCTCCACGATGCTCCCGACCTCGGCGTCACCCAAGCGGCTCCGGCAGGGGAAGGCTCGCAGCACCGTCAGCACTGGGGGGGAGGCGCAGGGTGGGTGGCTCTGCCGTGGGGCTGGGGGCTGCCCACCCACCCGCCCCGGCGCCTACGCTGCGTGTTGGTGTCCCACCGGCCCCCCAGGTACCCCACCACTTCGCTCCGCGTCAGGTGGCTGTGGAAATCCTAAAGGGAAAGCCAAAGTCAGCAGCACAAGAAGCGTCCCAAATTGGCACGGGTCACGCTCGTGTCCCCGTCCCCCCCCCCCCCCAAGTCCCTCCCCACCCACGGGACCCCGCAGGGAGGGGACGCACCAGCAGCAGGAGGACGTTGCTGGAAATGGCCACGTTGAAGGGCTGGAACTTGTTGATGGCAGCGAAGGGCATCACCTCCACCAGGGTCTGGGGGTTCCTGCAAGAGCCGCAGCCCCTGGTGCCACCCACGGGCACCCCACAGCCCCCCCCCAGCCCTCCCCGCTACCCCAGTGGCTCCCACGGGGCCGGTGGCTGTGTGGGGACACAGCTGGGGCCACCCGTGGGGCTCAAGTTGTGCCCTACCTGCCCGTGTCACGGGTGCCCAGGGTGCAGTAGCGGACGGGCACCTGGGCTTTGTTCTCCGGCTTTTTCCCCGGGGGGGCTTGATCTGCGGAACAGAGCGCCCCGTCACTGCGGCTGGGGGGCTTTGCCCCCCCCAGGGGACCCTGCCCTTCCTCACCCATCCCCGCCTGCTCCGCCAGGCTCCGGCACTGCTGCTTCTTGCTCTTCTCCTCCGGTCTCTTGGTGGCCGTTGGCTCCGGTGCGGGCACCCGGCCTTCCTTCTCCTTCACCACCGCCGCCTCCTCCTCCTCCTCAGGCAGCTCGTCCTCATCACTGGCCAAGCTCTGCGGGGTTCGGGGAGCAAAGCGTCACCCAGCACCCCACGGGGACCCCCAGGGGGATGGGATTTTTAGGATTGCCCCGACCCACCGCCTCGGCGGCGGGCGCGTTGGGCTGGTGCTTGCGCAGCCAGGCGGCCTTGTACTGGTCCAGCTTCTGGCCCTTGTAGCGCACGGAGGCCCAGCCGCAGCCCGACTTCTTGGCGGGGTTCACCAGGCGCTTGCAGTGGGTGGCCCAGGCGCTGGGCGAGTTGAAGACCTGGCCCGTCTCCTGCCACGTGATGGTGCCGTCCGCACCCAGGTCCCCCACAAACTTCTTGCCCTAAGGGAGCAAAGGGGTGAACGGGGGAGGCCCCGGCCTCGTCCCCAGTCCCCGTCCCCGTCCCCGTCTCACCAGGTAGTTGATGGAGAGGACGCCGCGGGCCGGCTCCAGGAGCCCATCGCGGAGCAGCATGCGCAGGGTGATGCCGCGGCGGGTCAGCACGGCCCCCCGGGAGCCCCCCGCCGCCTTCGCCCGGCTCTCGGGCTCCGGCTCGGCCTCGGCTTTGTCCAGCCCCGGCTCCAGCTCGTCCTCGTCCTCCTCCAGGCACTCATCTGTGCCAGGGGAGGCGGCCGCCAGCGCTGGGGGATAACCGCGTGGGGACCCCTCCAGGAACCCTCTGGGGGTGGGGGGGGGGCAGCACCCTTGGGTCCCCCCCTTGATGTCCGTGGGTGGGAAAATAGGGAGCGGGGGGACGGTGACACGCAGGGGGACTTGTCACGGTGTCACAGGCACGCTGGGGGTCGTGGAAATGGGGGCGCTGCCAGGCAGGGACATGGGGAGAGGGGACGTGGGGGGGACATGGGGAGCTGGGGATGGGGGAGAGGAGGATGCGGGGGGGTGACGGCAGGGACTTGGGGTCAGTGGGGGCATGGGGTCTGTGGGGATATGGGGTCCATGGGGACACGGGGGGCATGGGGACATCATGGGGACATGGGGGGGCATGGGGACATGGGGGCTGCAGGGACATGAGGACTGTGGGGACGTGGGGACCGTGAGGATATGGGGTCTGTGGGGACATGGGGGGTGTGGTGACATGGGGTGTGGGGACATGGGGACCCTGGGGGACATGGGGTCTGCAGGGCCATGGGGACAGGCAGATGTGGGGATGTGGGGACATGGGGACAGGGGGTCCGCGGGGACATGGGGACCGTAGGGACATGGGGTCCGCAGAGACGTGGGGGCTATGGGGACACAGGGACCCATCCCGGCGCCCCCCCAGCGCCCACAATACCCGGGGTTGGGGTGGGGGGAGCAGGGGGGGGGTGCGGGGGGGGGGGGGTCGCGCACGGCGTGAACGCGCACGGCCGGGGGGGGGGGGGGGGGGGGGGGGGGGGGAGATTGGGGGGGGGGGCTGCGCCGTGCACGCAGGTGCAGCCGTGCGCGTGCCCGCTGCCCGCCGGGGGCGCGCCCCCCGCGCTCCCCCCCGGGGGTCGGTGGCGGGGAAGGGATGGGGGGGGGTTGTTTGGAGGGGGGGGGGGTCGCGGCCCGGTACCTGCCATGCTCCGCGCTCCGGCCTCCCCCCGCCGCCACGTGATGGGGGCGGCCCCGCCCCCGCTGCGGGAACGGCGGGGGGGGGGACACCGGGGAGGGGGGGGGGCACCGGGTGTGGGGGGGGTGGGGGGGGCTGGTGCCGAGCCATGGGGTCAGCACCGCGGGGGGGTCGCCCCGGGGTCGTGCCGGGTGCTGAGCGGTGCTGGCACCGCGCCGGGGCTCCCCCCGACACTCCTGGGGGGGGGCAAAAAAAAAGGGAGAAAAGGGATATCCGCAGGGCAGCTGGGCTAACCCAGCCACGGGGATGGACCGTGCCGGGGGGGGGTCACACTCAGCAATAAAAGGTGGGAAAAGGAGGAAGAGGGGAGGGGGGGCTCTCGTGGAAGCGTCTGTCCCCCTCCCGGACACCGGCTGCGTGCGCTGAGGCCCTGCTGCAAGGACGAGGTCGAGCATCGCTCGTTTGGGGGAAATAGAGAGGAATTTCTTTAATCTGCACTTCCACACAGCCTGTATTGTTGTTTTGTTTTGTTTTTTGTTTTGTTTTGTTTCCCTTTCCCCCTCCTTTTTCCCCCTTTTTTCCCGTAGTTAAATTATTTAGTTCATAATAATCTTTCCTTAATAATTATTATTTTTTCCCTTTGATTATATTATCTTATCTCAACCCGTGAGTTCTTTATTTACTTCTCCCCCTCCTCATCTAAGGAGGGGCAGTGAGAGCGGCTGTGCTGTCCGGCTGCCCAGCACAGTAAAACCACCGCAGTCTTTTTTTGGCGCCCAGCGTGGGGTCAAAGGGTTGAGATAACGACGGAATTGATTAAAAGCTTCCAGCTAACGCGCTTACTCACTGCTCACCGTGCTCAGTGTCCTGTTAACACTGCCTTGTTTGTTCATGTGTCGTGCAATCCGTGCCATGTTCTCTGTATCCGATCCGAGGATGTGCTTCAATCTGTGCTCGTTTTTCTGAATTTTCTGTGCTGCCAGACACCGGCCTTGAGTTTAATCTGGCATTCAGGCTCCGCGCTGTTATCATTTGGGTCTCATGGAAACTATCTTTTAGGGAATATCCAGAACTCCACTGCCTTCCTTTCCCCGTCTGGATGTCAGTTTGTGAATGATACCAGGAATGGTGCCTCCTCCTTCTTTCACAGTGGGCTAATTACAACAGTTTTTGAGTATTTTGAACATCCACGTGTAAGCCATATATTGCTATTTCTAATTCTGAATAACGGGTTTCCTCTTCTCCCTAAGATTAATCAATTGTTTAGAAAGCTTACCCGGGAATCTGTCTCGAAACCGTCTGGTGGCGGGTGGCAAGGTGTGTGGGAGGATGTGGGCAGGTGCCTGACACAGGTGTCTCCTCCAGTAGTTTTGAACTTCACCCCTGAACAAGTGCAAAATCCTAAAAACCCGATAGAATGATTGAGTTGTATGCCCTGGCCCTGATAATGCCGGAGAAGGACAGCTTGCAGCATTGTGCCGGGGCCTGGCTTACCCCTATCAAACATCGCTTAACATCACCCAGCACCTTGAAGAGAGGGAGGAAGTTTCGGAGATGGATGACCGGGTGGAAAACCTGGCTGTTAAAGTACGTCCTGTGGATGCCCTCATGCCCAGGAGTTGTGCTCCTGAAGAACATCAGGACAACGAAGTGGGTTGAGCTTCGAAAATTGAAGTGGCTCAGGTGGACCTGGACGTGAGGGTGGGCTGTTTGGGACTCGATGGGCCCACAAAACATCAGGACATGTGGGGAGGGATGCCACATCCAGACGGGCTCGTGATCGAGGGGTGGGCCTGGCCATGGAGGGTACCCATCAGTGTGAGGCCTGTGCTGCAAGCAAGAGGGCCGTGAGGGTAAAATCTCCCCGGAACAGGGGGAGGTGGACGGGGTTTCAATGTGGTGAGGCCTGGTAAATTGACTACATCGGATGTAGGCCGTGTGGGTTGATCCTGCCTCGGGAAAAGGCAAACCCACTCGTGGGATTGTCTTTACCCAAGGATCAGGGTATACCTGGTGGGTCATGCAAAATAACGGGGATATGAAGTGTGTGCCTCAAGGAGACTTAACCTTGAGAGAAAACTAATCCATAATCTAAGTTATATGTGGTAGGAAGATGCTGTAGGATCAACGACAGGTCACTTCGCAAGGAGCCGGGCAGTGCAACAAGGACTTGAGCTGAGCTGGTGCTGGCGTCCAGACATTAATCCTATTAATCTGTTAAAGGACGAGGAATAACGGTGGTGAGAATACTTAATGTTAAAGCATGGGGGGCCTGAGAGTGACACAATAAGGTGATGGAATAAGGGGTGGAGGTTGTACGGGGTCTGGCTGGGGTGGTAACGTTCCCTGCAGCCCACCCAGTGCCGTGCTCAGCACCTGGAGCTAGCACAGCATTGGGATCACCCCAGGGTCGTGCCGGGTGCTGAGCGGTGCTGGAACCGCACCGGGGCTCCCCCCAACACTCCTGGGGGGGGGCAAAAAAAAGGGAGAAAAGGGATATCCGCAGGGCAGTTGGGCTAACCCAGCCACGGGGATGGTCCGTGCCGCGGGGGGGGTCACACTCAGCAATAAAAGGTGGGAAAAGGAGGAAAAGGGGAGGGGGGGGCTCCCGTAGAAGCGTCTGTCCCCCTCCCGGACACCGGCTGCGTGCAATGAGGCCCTGCTGCAAGGACGAGGTCGAGCATCGCTCGTTTGGGGGAAATAGAGAGGAATTTCTTTAATCTGCACTTCCACACAGCCTGTATTGTTGTTTTGTTTTGTTTCCTTTCGTTTTGTTTTGTTTTCCTTTTCCCTTTTCCCCTTTCCTTTCTTTTTTTTTCTTTTTTTTTTTTTTTTTTTTTTTTTGTTTCCTTTAGTTAAATTGTTTAGTTCATGATAATCTTTCCTTAATCATTATTATTTTTTCCCTTTAATTATATTATCCTTATCTCAACCCGTGAGTTGTTCTTCATTTACCCCCTCCTCACCTAAGGAGGGGCGGTGAGAGCGGCTGTGCTGTTCAGCTGCCCAGCACGGTGACACCGGGGGAGCCCCGGTGGCGGGGGGGGACACCGGGAGATCCCCGGCTGTAGGGCGGGGGGGGCACCGGGAATCCCGGTGCCCACGGGCACGTCCCCACGGGCACCCCCCCACCCCGTGCCCTTCGCCCCTTGTCCGGGAAACGGGGGCGGGCCCCGAGCCCGCTCCTTGAATAAGTCCCGGCCCCTCCCGGTCCCGGTGGCACCGGCGGCTCCCGGGCATGGCGCCCCCCCCCAAGCGGGCCGGGACCCGGCACTACTACGAGGGCTTCGTGCAGAAGCGGGGACCGCGGGACAAGGTGGGCTGGCACCTCCTCAGAGCCCCCCCAAACCCTCCATCAACGGGACAACCCCCCCCCGGTACCGGGATCCCCCCCCCCCCCGGTGCTGAGGGGTCCCCTCCGTCCCCCCAGGCTTACCGGAGGGTCTGGGCAGGGCTGCGGGGGCCGCTGCTCGCCTTCTATGCGGAGCCCCGGGACCGCCAGGTACGGGCAGGACCCTCGGGGGGGTCCGGGGGGGGCCCACACCCCCCCAGTGGGACCTCAACTGGGACCCGGCTGGGAGCTGGGGGGTGGGTGTGTGGGGATGGGGGGGGGATAACAGCAGCTTGGGACCCCCAAGGGGGCACCCCCCGGCTGTGAAGAGGGGGGTTGGAACCCCAGGGGGGTGTTGTTGTTTTTTTTTGGGGGGCACACCAAGATGGGACCCCCAAGGGGGCACCTCTGGGCTGGGAGAAGTGGGATTGGGACCCAAGGGGGTGTGGTTTTGGGGGGGCACCAAGCTGGGACCCCCCAAGGGGGCACCCCCAGGCTGGGAGAGGTGGGATTGGGACCCCAGGGGGGTGTTTGGGGGGGGGGGACACCAATCCAGGACCCCCAAGGGGGCCCCCCCCAGGCTGGGACCCGCAGTAGGAGAACCTTAGGGTGGGAGCAGGTGGGTGCCCTAGGCTGGGACCTGAGGCCTCTGTGCCCCCCCCTCACAAAGGGTGGGAACCCCCCCCCAGGTCTAGGACCTGCTGGGACCCCCCAGGACTGGGACCTCTCCCTTGGGACCCCTGAGCTCCCCGAGGTGGATGCGGAGCTGGGACCCCCC